GTTCTATCGTAAATATGTTCATGAATGAAATGACACAGTTGATAATTGACCACAGCGCAGCAAGAGCAAATGGAACGTACCTGGTTGGCAAACTGGTTGGAAGGGAAGGCGAGGATGCGTAAACCTCTCTCAGCATATTTGGCGTGCATCTCGGCAAACTGAGAGTAGTTTACGGGCGTTTTACCTCATTTGGACGCTACGTTGGTGATGATGACCACGTTGCCCCTAAAAAAGTATGTTCTCAGTCACAGTTTGGCTGATTCACGCCACACACGGAAATAAAGGCTCACCTGTATTTTTCGAGAGAGACCACATTGCCATCAATGTCGGTGGCTGAGAAATCATAGATGGATGTGGCCGAGCTCCAGTCCTCTGTTGGGGCTCCCTGGAGAATGACAGAAAGACGTGTTCATCGTGGGAGCACCCTGATAAAATACACTATATTGACAATGTCTTATTTAAGATGACAAAAATTAAGAATAAAGTTAAATACACAAAAAAATACACACATTATTAATTAAAAATAGTTAACCACTGTAATTTATATGTAAAAACAAATGTGTGTGTGTGTGTATGTGTGTGTGTATATATAAAGTAATTAAAGATATTGAGATCTTAAATTAAAAAAAAAATACAATCAATATGCATGTCTAAAATAGATATGTAAACATTTGATCCAGAATAAAATCAGGGCAAACAAGAATTGATAAGGGGAAAAAAATGAATGTACTGAATACATAAAAATGGAGTAAACTAAATGCATTCGTGCAACACATCGGTAAAGATGATCACTTATGACTCTGCTCTCATCTGTAAAAAAAATTTGCACGCCGACACAATCTGTCTATCGACATTCTTGCATCAGATGTGTTTCCATGCCATCCAGTCGCAGACTAACACGCTGAAATCTTACCAAAGCCTGTAGCAGGACACTGAACAGGACAGCGGAGCCTACGAGACGCATGGTTGCCCTTCAGCGAGCTCCTCTGAAGGCAGAAAGCAATTCAACTCCTTCCTTATTTAGCCTCCTTAGCTCCGCTCTTGATTTGTACCCTGCAGACCCTTATAAAGCCACCAAAGGCTCAGTGACTCAACTGATAAGCTGCCGTTATCCAATAGCTGATGCTCTGCAGTGCTGACCCGTAATCCACATCAGCCATTCACGGGTTCTGGGGTCTAGAGTCCACCACATTATCATAAGCTCATAAAAGGATATTGTAAAATAAGAAATTGGAACATTCCGGGACTTTGGTTGAAAGTGTCACGTAATTTTCAGATGCATTTTTTTAATCAGTGTAGCACCACTAGTGGACTAATGGTCAGCAAGTCTGCCTCAAAGTTGAGAAGTTATGGGTGCGAATCTTGGCTCTGGCCTGACTTGAAAATCTGCATTTCAGGTTGATTAAAAACTTTAGATTGCCCTTCGGCGTGAGTGTGAATACTGGTTTAAAATAATTGGTATATCACCACAGCGGTGCCTTGAAATTGAGTTTTCCCCTGACCATCCCTTAAATCAAAACACTCGTATACTCCAAGCAATCTTTCTATCTGACAAAGTGCTGCTTGTTGTGTACTAAATCGACTCAGTTTAGTTGAGTTCACTGTCACCATCCAGCCCGTGTATTACTACTTGCGCATGCAAGTAAGAATAATTCCTCGTTGGTGCCCCCTAATGGTCGCGGTGCCTCGAGCAGGTGCTTGAGTTTGTTTGTGCCTTTGACTCGTCTATATTCCATATGACCCCTGTAAAATATTGCCTGTACAATTACAGATAAAAGACACGAATTCAAGAGGCAAACAGATAAATACAACTGTATGCTGTTATGAGTGCTGCGCGGTGACAGCGTGTGTCAGCTTGATGTCTTGGTACTGATAACAGCAGCACACATTCCCTGCCATGCTTACTGAACATTTCAACCACAAAGAGCAGCAGGCCACCTCCCAGAAAAAAATTAAGTATTTGTTGTACTTTACCGTAGAGGGAATAAGAAAGTAGAGTACCACCGCCAACGACACTCCAATGGTGGCCGTAGCCGCGCAGGTTATCATTAAGCATAACGGTCTCATGTTGGAGCACATTTTGATCAAAACTGAAGCCGCCCACCCCGCCTTTCTTGTGCGTTACGAAACCCTATATAAAATATTGATTACGTTTATTTTACACGAATATTTTTACTTTGTACACATGTAATAATGTCTCCGTCAACATTCTTTACTCTTTCTGTTTGTTTTGTTTTTCCATTTTATTGAAACTCCGCCCATTCCGTAAAGGAAGTTATCAAACGTCATCAGTCAGCGCCAGTAAACGCTCGCGTGCGTCGAATAGGAGCAGATAGTGAATATTTAGCAGCGACAAAATCACCAATTTGTGACTAATAATAAGAGTATAATTCATATAAATTCCTAACGACTATTTAGATAAAGTATGGACGACGAGGAGGAAACATACAGATTGTGGAAGATTCGCAAGACCATCATGCAGGTGAGTTTTTTCCTTGTGGTTGCTTTTAGGCTAACGCGTTACGCTCGTTGACGTTAGCTACTATTACCTTTGTGACTGATGCTACTTGTCTCTCTGGAGATAGTGCTGTGTCGCGGATGCTGCGAATTGTCCATGTTGGCCAGAATCTTACGAGAAGTGACTCATGTGCAGTAATAAGTGGAATTTCTCTGAAATATGATATTCTACGTTCCAGCTTTGCCACGACAGAGGCTACCTGGTGACCCAGGACGAGCTGGATCAGACTCTGGACGACTTCAAGAGTCAGTTTGGAGACAAACCCAGTGAGAGTCGACCCAGACGGACCGACCTCACCGTGTTGGTGGCGCACAATGATGACCCCACAGACCAGATGTTTGTTTTCTTCCCCGGTGAGCTCCCAAAGATACGATGGAACTCAAAATATTTTTTTAAAACGCGGATACTCGGTCATAATGCGTTATTGAAACCCATTAAAAAAAAGTTTGACTCCTCCATTAAAAAAAAAAAAAAAAAACTTGTGGGGTGGGGGGTGTAATATGCAAATGCATTAGTATGTGGGGGTCCGCCGTACTTATTTTTGTGATACGTGAATGCAATAACCAATTGTTTCCCAACCCATGATCATTAGTCTTTTGCTGCCCCCCAGGGAGGTGTGGCATCAGTTTTAAGTTGCCGAATATTGTTCCTAAAAACCTAAATTAAGCTTCCGATGAATATTGTTACACACGTTGAAAATGAATTCTGCTCTTTTTCAGAGGAGACCAAGGTGGGCATCAAGACTATCAAGATGTACTGTCAGAGGATGCAGGAGGAGAACATCACACGGGCCATCATTGTAGTCCAGATGGGCATGACGCCCTCTGCAAAACAGGTTGGTTAACATACTATACTGTATGTATACATTATGTATGTTTGCATTCATGACTGTACATACCTCCCAGTCTTTAGTGGACATGGCACCCAAGTATATCCTGGAGCAGTTTCTGCAGCAGGAGCTGCTCATCAACATCACAGAACATGAGGTAAAAACACCAGCCAAAACAAAGTAGGCAAACACATTTCAATATAACGTACTGCAGTTAGGTTATCATTTTGTGATTAAATTGAATAGTTTTAATAAACTTTTTTTTTTAAAACGAAAAATTGTCACTAAGTTATTCAATTTGATCCTGCTTTTGACCAAACTATTAGGAACACCAACTGCAATTTGCACAGTTGTCACTCTTAATGCCTCCCATGAGGGGGGGAAATAAATGACAATTTGTTCATCTTTCTGTATTTCAGCTTGTGCCAGAACACATCGTCATGACAAAAGAGGAAGTGACAGAGCTCCTGGCCAGATAGTATCCTCTTAATGTATACACCATACCACAGATGTGTATAAAATATATACACGCACTACCAGTCAAAAGTTTTGGATATGCATGCCATGTCGGCCAAACTTTTGACAGGTAACGTATATATGTAGTGTGCAGTGTTTCTTTACGGACAATATGTGCATTTGGTTGCCTTAACACGCTCAGTAAACTGAAGGAGAGTCAGCTCCCCAGGATCCAAGCCGGAGACCCCGTGGCTCGTTACTTCGGCTTAAAGAGAGGACAGGTAAACAAAGCATAACTTTGAAACAAGGCAAAGAGGGGAAAAGTGTCGTGACTATTAGAACAGGAAGTAGACTTAATGCGAAACAGGGAAGCGTCTGGCTACTCAGTGCATCATCAATATCAAGCAGTTTTAAAAAACAGGCGTGAGTAAATACCACGTACTAAAATGACTAGCATATAACCAGCAAAGTGTCAACCTATGGCATTATTTTCGATGTTTTGCATCTTTAAACGGGGGAACAGTTTTACTTTTGTTTCAACAGTGCTGCTCTAAGATATAAGGCTGGTCAGGAGAGGGGCAGTTCCTTAAAGTAACATTTTTAGATGAGAAAGGCGGGGAAAAAGGTAAAGTCACCATTACGCTAGAATTTGGGTCTGACACTTTAAATCCGTACCAAGGTGGTGAAAATCATCAGGCCGAGTGAGACAGCTGGACGGTACATCACCTACAGGCTGGTGCAGTGACAGGTTAGTCATCCATATCAGACATGTACAATATTTCGATGATGACTAGTTAGAATGACTGTCAATATTTACCATCCTAGATGTTGACTGGGGAAGCATTCGAAGATGTTCCAGCCACACTCATCATCCTTGGATCCCTGTTTTAATTGTGTTACATTTCTTTTGTGTTTCTATTCCAAAAATGAAATTTGTAAAATAAAAATGATCTATTGAAAATAAAGCCAGACTGATTTCTTCTATGTAGATCAGGGCTGTGGATAAACTGAACCGTGAAGAAAAAAATAGCCACTAAACTGTTTTCTGATGCTGTTGCACCAAGTAGTTCATTTTCTTTCATATCACACGAGCCACACTTAAAGATATTTATATAAATGTCTTATTTTATTAAAACAATGCAATAACAATTTGAAATAGTGACAAAACAAACAAAGAAAAGAAAGTGCTGAAATAAAACCAGCAGCACTTTGAATGAAGGCAATAAAAACACTTGGGACTGTATGCCAATTAAGTCCAGTAAGAAAAGCTGAGCGCTGCCAAAAGCTGGGAAGAAGCGAACCATCAAAGAGCATTAAAGTGATCATTAGACAAATTCGGGCCCTTTTGCTCGGTTTCTGCTGAGTGCCATCTTCTTGCTACGCAGGTGTTCTAGCAGGACTCTGGAACCACGCGATGGTGAGCAGTAGTAGTAATTGTTGGACTGGTTGACGTTCAGCTCGGCCAGAGATGCGATCAGACTGCCCTCGACACAGTTTGCGTCATCGTTGGGCTGGGGCGGAGTCCCGTCCAGCTCCAGGCTGTCCTGGTAGTTCAACTGCTCGTCTTCATCGGCCACCTCCGCGCCTCCTGCCTTGGCGCTCTCATCCTGCTCCGAGTCCGAGTCGGGGAGCTGCTCGCTGGAGCCCATTGAGCCTGAGGAGGTACCCGTGTCGAGTTACTGTGTCACGTCACGCCGACAGCACTGGTTCTGGGGAGGTTTGCAGGGGCACCTGCACCTCTTAAGCCATTCTGCATCCAAGTAGACACTAAGCAATGCCTTAGTAAGGTTTGTTGTATTTTGTGTTGATGCCATGAGCGTATGTCAGGCTAACTTGACAACAGAGCTGAATGGCCACTGGTGTGAGGGACTTCATATGCAGTCATGCGTGAAAACCTGGAACCATTGTAAATAGCACAGCCACCTTTACGCTGTGTTTTCTATGCTATTGCTATTTATTATTTTATTTATTCGACAAATATTTTGCTAATGCTTTATTTTATATTGCACTTATATTGAACTGTGTACAGTTCTTTTCTGAAACATTTCTTTTGTGCAATGAAACACTTTATGCCCCCCCCCCAATCTTGCTGCCGTAGACTGCAAATTTCCCCAGTGTGGGACGAATAAAGGTTCTTATCTTATTACACGCCTGATGCAGTTCGTTGAATGAAAATGAGCAAGTCAAGCCACAGAGCACAATCTAAGCTTGCAGCGCAACACCAAAAATGAAAACCAACAACTGGGTGCATGTTGAATTAAGAAGTTATGTCCCTTTGAGTAGTATATCATTGTTCTAAAATCGACACTGCGCGCTGAATTTGGAAGAATTTACAAAACAAAACTCACCGCAGCCTTCGTCCATTTTGTCTGACTCTGATTTGCTCTTTCTGTGCGGGCCTGTGTCCTCCTCGCCGTCAGCAGAACTGCTGGTTACATCCTCGACCTAAACCATCAGCACAAATGTCATCGAAAAGTAAAAAAATACAATAAAATAAAAAAGCCTGGTACTCGAGAAAATTCCAAAATACACCAAAAAATAAAAGCATTCTATCCTAGGACATTTCTCCCAGTTCAGTTAATGGAAATTTCTTTAAATAAATAAATATTCATTTGTACAAATGTAGTAAGACGCACCCTTGGTTGAGCATAAATAGGGAAGTAGATAACAAATATGGTTGTATTTGTACAGATAAAAGCCTCCTCACTGATCCACATTTAATAGATAGCTGACATGTCACTGTTCAGTAAATTGTAATAATAGAGCTCTCATTAAACACGAGCGGTAGAAGCTCACCAGGCGAGCGGAGGTGGAGGCAGAGCGGCAGGTCTTGTGGCAGTGGGAGCTCTTCGATTGAAAGATGGAGGCGTAGAAGACGATGAGGGCCTCCACCACACGGGCCTGGTGGGGGTAGTCCACCAAAGACGAGAGCGAAATGGTCGCCCCCGTGGGACGAGGACGCATCAGCGACGGCCCGAACACGATCCCCAAATTATTGGGACTCATCTTGTTCTCCTCCTCCAGCTCGGTGATCCTAAGAGATGCGAGAGCGCGCGTCACGGTGGGTGTCTCGACACGACCCGACCGAAGCCGTCGCATTCTCCTACGTACCGCCGAAGATGGCGAATCAGGTATCGCAGGGTGGCCATGTTGGCTTTGGGCAGCTCCTTCAGAAGCTCCCTCAGCTTGTCGACCAGCACCAATGTCTCCGGCTCAGTTTCGGGGCCCAGGTCCACCAGCTGAGCCCCCCTGCCCACTGCGGGGGGGCCGCCGGGCTCATCGGGCTCAGCGTCGGCCTGCACACTCTCCTTGGCCAAACCCACCAGATTGTTGTAAATGTGGAACGGCAGGATGGGTTCTGGCAACTGGATAGCATACAAGCAGGGAATTAATCTGTAGTTTAGCAGCCTCATTTTACGTTTTATTTTTTGGAGTGTGTTTTTCTTAAACTGTAAGCGCCCTGTTGCGAAGCAAGACTGACTTGTCGCAGGTAGAGCTTGAGCACGTTGCTGATGTCGTGCGGAGAACACTGCGACAGCTCCACGAGTTCCTTGCCGTTTTCGAAGGCCTGACACAGCTTCTCCACGCGCGTCTTCACGCCGTTCACCCGGTAGATGCCCTGCGAGCCAGCATGAAGCAAGTCAGCAGAAGTGTTTGATTCATGTGGCACTTCTCATAGACAGAGGGACAAAGTGCTAACTACATCTCCCGCGTGACTTGGTTAATACTGACTAATGGCTGATTAGACTGTTGAGTATGCTTGCACATGGGGTGGGGGGTTGATTGTGATTAAAGCTGGGGATGACAAAGTTATGCAATCTTTCTGTGTCAAGACAAAAACAATGGTAGTCAGATAAAGCACAGTCCATGTTTAGTGAAGACAGTGGTCGCGTAACCTATGTCGGTATAAAAGAGAAGCTCTCATCAGTATTCGTTGAGAGCAACCACCGTGTAAACTGCTTTTGTGGTGGTGGTTCCTTCTTACAAGATTGAATTATATCTTTAATCTTATTCAGATCTCCAAAGGATTTTTCAAGCCATTTTAACTCTTAAATTTTGAAATATTATTCAGGTGGTGGTGGGGATGCAGGAGTGGCTTACAGTTTTAACACGTAAATGAAACAGCCTGTTTGAAAATGGCAGTGAAAATGATTGTCCCCCCCACCCCCGAATTGGGGTGCCTATTTCTTTTAGAAAGCGACCATAAGCAGATAGCAAGTTATGGAGCCTAAACCTTCTCTCACCTTCATCTTCAGCGCCCGCCTCTCGATCTCAGAGATGCACTTGGTGATGATGAAAGGGATGCCGTCGCTGGCGCAGCTGGCCACCTGAGAGAATTCCCTCCCGAAGAGCTGCAGACGGCCCCGCAGCTTCTTGTGGCCGCATTGGATGGCCAGCGTCTCCAGGCAGCGTTTGTGACAAGCCAGGAAACACTACGGACACATCGAGGACGAGACCGCCTGAGGAATGCCGTTTTTGTTTGAGGGGCTTTGGGGCAGGTGGGCGGAAAAAAAAAATCTCCTCACCTCTTCGCACTCGGCGCCCTGGAAGTACACGTAGCTGTCGCACTCCCGGCACTTAGCTGGAGTGCGCAGCTTCCTCAGGCGGTGCGTTTGGGCGGCTTTGGACAAGCCCACGTTGCGGAAAGGTCTGGTGGAGACCACTACGTCGGGGTCCATGCCGTTCATGCCTGCGGAAGAACCAAAGACACTCTGTGAAAGGTTTTATAGCAGATGGCCTCAAGTATACCAAGTGTTACCTTCATTTATCTACCTTTACATTTCACACAAAGCTAGGCAAAGCAGATCATGTCAAAACTATGTCAAGTTTCGCACAGCAACTTGGCATTCCGTAATCAGATCATAATATGACATAAGCAGTTGGTTCTGAGGTGACTAATAAAAAAACGAATCTGTAAGACATGGACTATTGGTTTCAACACAACAGGCTCTTGGAGCACAAACCTGTAATTTATATTTTTACCAGATATCTCGATAATGACACGATAATGTTACTATGATCTGTGAAAACTGATTTTTTTTTTTAAAGAAAAAATTAATTATCCATCCAAAAGGATGCGGAAAGTTTTTATTTTTTTAGAACCTACTGACAGTCATCAACAGAAGTTAACCACTCAACCCCATACGTGATGGTTGTGTATGCATTAATAAATTACATGGCGATATGGTGTATGGACTCTAAGCGATATGAACGATGCCAGCCTGGATCGTGGCGGCTCACCATTAAAATATGTCGCATTGTATGACTTTATTTATCCACAAAAAAATGGTGGTAGGCAACAAAGACGTGCGTTGCGACAGAAATGGGACGTGGGCGATATTCATGAGGAAAGTGTGGATATATTGAAAGGCGAGGCCGACTCTCAATGGAGCAGCGAGGCGCAGGCTGCTCGCACGTTTTTACAACACGCCATGCAATTTTATCCACTGGTAATTTTGAAATGATAAATATGGTCATGTAACGTTGTAAAACACACCCTCTGTATTTACTTCACAGCGAACAGGGAAGTGGATTTCTTGTGTGTGTATTGCCTAAGTGACAAAGTTAATATAAATAACATGGCAAGAACTAAACTAAAAGTCTTACTTGGCGTCTCAAATGAGGCCACATTGCCATCTTTTTCATCCGTCTCCTCTGCGGACGAGACTGTTCCGGTGGATGACGTCCGGGTAATTTTGCTGATGTCGGCTGCTGACGTGAAAGGATGACAAGTGTAAAAATGTTTCCCAGAGGGGGGGACAAACAAATCAAAAACTGTGATTGGCGCACTTGTGCTGGCGATTGGAGACTCCAGGGTGCCGTCTGCTCCCACGCTGTCATCACTCACTGTGGAGCCCCACGACTTGTGACCCTGCCCTGCATACCAAATCATATAGTCGTGTCAAACGACGACGGTATGGTGCAATCTGACACCGATGTACCTTGACATTGGAGTTCACCTTCAGTTTTTTTGGGAGGTTGTTCTGGGCTCTTTTTTTTTTTTACCAATTGTATCTTATGTCTCTTCAATTTATCGATTTTCCTCCACCGGCCACATCCAGCGAGGATGACTACAGTTCCGTGGATTTTTGATGATGTGAAACTGCTGAACTTTGGCTTGGTGATGATCTTTCAGCTTTTACATTTAACATGCTTGTCTAGAATTTTATTTCTCGGCATTACTCACTGGGATGACTGTCCGTTTCCACTCCTGCGGCGGGGTTGTCTGCCTGGCTCGTCTGCTCTGCGTCAAAGCTGTCGTTTCTCGTTCTGAGGACGGTGCTGCATTCGTTCAACACGAGATACGTTAAAAGTGTCACCTCACCATTACGAAAACGGTCTTCCTTACTGCGACGCCGCGCCGGAAGGGGTGAAGGGCTCGAACGCGTAGCAGACGGCGGGTTGGTCCGGCAGCTGCAAGTCTCGCACGTGGGCGGTGTACTGTTGGCCCGGGTCGTACAGCTTGCTGCTCTCGCACAAAGTCTGGTAACAGACGGGTAGCGCCACCGTCTGCATGTGCATAGACTGGTAGTACGAGATGGTGGCCTGGTGGTTGTAAAGGAAACGACAGTGAAGCGAAGGTCGGCGGAAAGACGTTCAAGAGATGGCATTCGTAGTTTGCGTCGAACCGAGCGCAGTGTCTGGTCGCTCTGTTTGATGAGGTCCTGCAGCTGCCTCAGCACCGTGACTTTGGTGTGCTCCAGCTCCATCATCTGAACCGTGGCGTCGGCGATGCACGTTCTGTACGTTGCCTCCGCCTCATCCGCCTACGAATCAAAACAGACACCAATGACCTCATCAAAACAGTGTTTACAATCCAAGGTTGTCCAAACTCAGGGCGGCATGGTGCAGCAGTCGTTAGCGTATCGACCTAACACTGCAGAGGTTGTGGGTTCAATCCCAGCTGCGGGCTTCCGATGTGGAGTTTGCATGTTCTCCCTGTGCCTGTGTGGTTTTTCTACGGGTACTCTGGTTTCTTCCCACATTCCAAAAACTTGCACGGCAGGCTGATTGAACACCCTAAATTGTCCCTAGGTGTGACTGTGAGCGCGAATGGTTGTTCGTCTCTATGTGCCCTGCGATTGGCTGGCAACCGGTTCAGGGTGTGCCCTGTCTACTGCCAGAAGACAGCTGGGATTTCTTATTTTTTTCTGAACATTACAACTTTTCTGAACCTTCTCTTAAATTTAGGGGGGGAAGCAATTAATTTGAATTGAAATATATAATACAGTTTTTCTTGCAGCACGACAATAACGATCTTCACATCAACCTAGTTCATATTTATTTATTGATTCTTATTTTAACGACTTTTCTTTTTAATACTATATGGAGTAGCGAGGAGCGAGCACCTTGTTGCGAGCCTCTTCCTCCAACCGCTTCTTCTTGTCCAAGGACTTGGCGGTGGCTCCCGCCCCCTCCTCCTCGGCTCGGCTGGCGGCCGCTTTGGCCTTGTAGTCCTCGCAGCGCGCCATGTAGGCTTGCTTGGCCTTGCGCAGGTTGGCCTCGCAGTCCATCTGTCGGGAGAAGCGGCTCATCTCACTCTCAAGACTCAAAAGTCACTCGCGCGCACGGTCGTGTTCAGAGACGGACCAGTTTTCTCTTTGCTCGGACCCAGTGATCCTTGATTTCCTTCCGACGCTTCTCATGCTCTTGCTTGCGCAGCACCAGCGGCTGCACACAACCACACACGTATGTGTACATGTTCACGTGCTGCTGTTCATGACACAAAAAGTAGTCTCACACCAAATGGGAGTAACCTGGATAAAAGTCTGGTTGTGCAGGGTGGCGCTGGCCTGCTGGAGGCCGACGCTCTGTTCCTGGTCCTGCTCCAAAGCGAGAGAATAGATGGAGAAGAGGGGCATGTGGGGCTGCAAGGGAAAAATAACACTAGTGTCATTGGCTGCATCGGGGCGGACAAGAAAGGATACATGTTCTCAAAAAAATGCGTCTCACGTGTGTTATGCTGTGTTTGCAGGACTGGTATAATCTCTGAAGACCTTTGGAGAATTCCATCTCTGGTGGAAGACAGACACAAGTGGTTATATGGGAGCACGGTTGCAGTGATGCGTTCAGGCATTCCCCCCCCCCCCCCCTCAATTTCTGAAGCCATAACTATAATGATTCATTGCATTTTTTTTCTTTAGCATTTTTCTTGGAAAGTTTCTTTTTTCATAAATCTACAACTTTTTTCTTTTAACATTTCTGCTTCATCCTAAATAAGTAAATAATGAGAAAAAAATCACCAGCAAATTTAAGGATTTTATTCCCATAATCTGACTATCCTTGTATATTTTTTTTTCCTCCAATCATTGAATACTAACAGTTTTCTTTACTGTTGCAACTTATCTCACCTAATTTTATTATTTACTTTCTACCCTTTTTCATTTTTTTCCCTTTTGCCTTTATAATAAAATGGTTCACTTTTTTTTTGCAACATTAAAATCTTAACATTGCAGCAGTATCCTTTTAACATTTATTTTATTCTAGAAACATTCCATCTTGATTATTGCAAAAGTAAAAGCAAAACATGTTTTCCTTATGATTGACACGATTTAACTTGAACATAATTACTTTTCCCGTCAGGCTATTTTTTTTCTTATCACAATAAATTTGCTCTCACGACACCCATTACTGAAAACATTTTGACTGTTTTAAGCTTTGTTTTATTTTCCAAATGCAAACGCAGGCTAAGACTGCACATTTGGCAAAGTCAAAACCACCAAGGCAAAAGCTCTTAGATGTTGACTTATAGCCAACGTAGCAGAGCAACCACAACGTACCCAGTGAGGTTCTCTTCTCCACGTAACTGATGAGATCCTTCATGTACTTGGCGATGGTTTTGGCGTACTGCAGAGCGGAGTCAACGCCGCCCTCACTTCGCTGCAAGATCACGTCCGCCGCCTCGAGGTTGCCTGCAAATTGGGGAAAAAAATATTGAGACTCATACGTTATGAAGTGGGCAAAATGAGAACACGCAGGCACAAACGGATTCCTTGTCGTGTTCAATTTTCGCATGTGGCCAGTTTTGCTCAGAGATTTTGTCACTTGAGCCTCCTACTGCATTAAACGTATGACTGATATAAATATTCGGGATGAGGATGGACTGAAACTGTCTATCAATAAGGGTCTCCAGTAAAAAATCATAACGATAACACGCCGAATTTAAAGCCGTGGCGTTCCAAGCATGACAATAAAGTTCTGTTTTATAGTCTGAAAAGTACAGCAACCGCACAAGACAGCAACGAAAGTGTTATTCTCACACCATTCTTCATGCAGCTTTTAAATAAATAACAGCAACGAAAATGTTATTCTCATACCATTCTTCATACCATTCTTCATGCAGCTTTTAAATAGATAGATAGATAGATAGAATAAATTGAAAGTGCAAGATGAGGCTGCCTACCCATGTCGTCTGAGTTGCTCCCCAGCTGACCGCTGTCCTGACCTGCAGCACCATACAAGTTCTCCATGGACTGCGCAAGGCAAATAAAACATGTAATGCTACGACCATCGTGACAAATCAATAGTGCGGCTGAAAGGAGGAGAACGGGTGAGACACTCACCCGGCTCTTCTCCGTGGGCAACAATGAGAGTAGCGTGCTGCTGTCCACCTCGCCCATCAGCAGCTCAGACACACTGGACGCAAGCACAAAATACACGCTGACCTTAAACCACATTGTGCAAGTCGAATGTTCTCAAAAACGTTTTTTTTTTTCTTCACTAAAGCACGTCAAATTAAAATCTCATGCACAACTGTCAAACTATTTGCGCAATATTACAGGTGTTTTGTAAGAATATTATGACCTTTTTGCAACGTTAAAACCTTTTCGTGCTAAACTTCCCAAACATGACGACTACTTTCTCTTAACACTATATATTTTTTGAGTTGTACAACTCAAAAAATATATTTCTAACATTACAGGTGTTTTGTAAAAATATTATGACCTTTTTGCAATATTAAAACCTTTTCGTGCTAACTTTCCTAACATGACGACTACTTTCTCTTAACACGATATATTTTTTTGAGTTGTGCAACAACTCAAAAAATATATTTCCAATCACAACTCCTTGTGATTGGAAAGATTTAGGCAGTGGTGTGTGTCGGATTTTTCAAAGAGTGTAAAGTTCATCTCGCTGCCGACAGAAGCCGAGTGGATGAGGAAATGGCGCTGTCAGACATTTCAACCATGTGACAGCTCACTTCCCCTTGCTGTTCTCTGACAGTTGAAACAGACATGTGACCACCTCCTATGCAAAGAAACGCTCCACAATGGTCACTTTTAGAGAAGACCAATTAAAAATAAAACAACAACCCTCAAATGGAGCATAGCTGCTTTGAGCTCACTTCCCCTTGCTGTTCTCTGACAGTTGAAACAAACATGTGACCACCTCCTACGCAAAGAAACACTCCACAATGGTCACTTTTAGAGAAGACAAATTAAAAAAAAAAAACAACAACCCTCAAATGGAGCATAGCTGCTTTGTGTCATTTGTCAATCATCCAAAATACTGTTCAAAGAGCGTGTGATTGATCATCTCCCCCGCCAGGCATTTTGTGCCACGGCATACAAGAAAACAGAAACCACTTCCTGTTTTCGTGCTCTGCCTCTTGCAAATGTGTCACCATTTACGCACTTCTCCAGGTTTCCATACACACACAATTTCGAACGCACAACTTCTGTTTTTAAGCAATCCATGCGACTCACTTGCTGCTGAAGGCCACCGCGATGGTCTCAATGGCTTTCTCAAAGTCCTTTTTGTCCGAGTCATTGCACGCCTCGTAGTGGAAGCCTGAAAAGGTGTTTAGTCATGATTTATATTACGGTGTCTTGCGATTTAAAAAAAAAAAAAGTCTTGTCATCCTTTTACTTGACGACCATATTGTGCCGTTATTCAATCAGGTTCCGATAGTTAATTAATCTGTTGTCTATGCCTAATTCTTTGCTAAATTTTTGACCCTATGCCGTAAACGGTATGTCGAGTGGAAACAAGACTTGAGAAGATCCAGAGCGACAAGTCACCGATCCCGTTTGACTCACCTTTGACTTTGGCTATGAGTTTCCCAGCGGCGGTGAGGATCTCCACCGTGTTGAGGAAGGGGTACGTATTGATGACCTGCCGCAACACGCGTAGAACCTCCCCCAAGCACTCGTGGGCGACGGGCCGCTGATTCTCCGTACCTGCGTGTCAATGGGGGGGGGGGTGCTAAATTGACTTGTTTTCATTCACACTTCTGGTTAGCGAGAGTGGGTACCGAGCAACTTTGAGCCAGTTTGCTCATCGCTTGCTATGTTAGCTTCTCACGTAGGCTAGGTGCCATTCGTTTGGCATTTGTGGGTTACAATAACGATCCCAAATCATATATAACATTGACTTTACAACAGTTTGTTTGTGGAGTCTCTGGCGCGCCTGCCAACCGATCAAGTGTGAATGACGCAACCGGGAAAATATTTGGCTATCTTCCATGTTCTGAAAACGTATTTGTGACAGAGGCCTTGTGTTCTTCTGCCCCACTGGAATGTTAAAGTGAGCTTAAGTTAGATTCATATGAACGTCTAAATTGAATTGGATTTTTTTTCGGACTGATTTCCTCTTGGCTTCGAATACAGACGACAACAATTGGACGACATCACATGTCACAAAAGCATCCTCAGTGGCGCCTGTTAGTGTCCATGATGACAAGAACACAGTGACCTCAAGAGTGGTGTCCAACAGGAAGTGGACTCCCCCCACCCCCTTAATTTAGGCAATGCAGCACAACATGCTGCCTTGTAGATTTTCATTCACGTTGCTTTATGTCAAGCAACGTTCCAACGACATTACAGTCAGCAGATGTGGCCTTCCTTTCGGAGGAGGAAGTGCGGCCTGGAGAGTGATACCGCCCTGTCAGACGTAGCTACCTACCGTAGCTTCCTGTTTTAGAAGAACGAGAGAACATGAAACTCGCGATGACACACAACGCACGCCAAGCATACACGTGTGTCGCAGGTGGCTTTCGGTACGGGGGGGGGTTGGCTATTTTGAGCCCCCTTAGGAAATGTGAGTCTTCATTTTGGAGTTAAAAAAAAAGAGCTGCATGGAAAGAGGCATTTTAAATATGATTCTCCTTTGAAAAACATCAATGCATCCATTTTTCTACACCGCTTGTTCTCATGACTGACTTGCGGCGACAGGTGAGGTCCACTCTGGACTGGTAAGACGGTGATGTCGGCAAGAAATGCTTGCGTTGGAAAAATACCACCTCTTACCGTCTGGGGTATAAAACAAAATCGGGGGCAAAAATCGGGTCAACAACAGCCCCATTATCTTTATGTGTGTACCAGGCCTAAGGTGAAAAATAGGTCGCGGGTATTGGAATTCAGCTACCTTCAGCCAGCACCACCACGTCCTTCAGCTTCTCCACAGCTTCGGCAAAGCGCGCCACGTCCCTGAGCAGGGCCGGGATGTCCTCCACCTCGATGGCGGCGGGCTCGGGACCTTCAGATGACGGCGTCGTTGGTGTCATGGCTCCTTTAGCCTGGCCTTTGGTGAATACCCATGACTGGAGAGTCAAACCTGTGTAGTGGGGGGGGGCAAGTTGCTTAGGCGGTAATAGACCATGCATTTTGTCCCTGGGCCTTCAGTGGGGATTTACGAGCCTTAATCCAACTCTCAAAGGATTAAATTTCCAGATTTTTTTTTAAAAAAAAGGGTATGTCCAAAATTAAGATGGGTAGGATAAGACATACAAGTGGTTTAGTTTAAGAGAAAAAAACAAATTACAGTTTAATGTATATCATTTCCATTGTAGCTATTGAAAAATGTTTTGCACAATGTTTTAGATGTGTGTGCGCGCAATTTTTATTCAGTATAAAAAAATGTTTTGCGCAATGTTTTAGATGTGTGTGTATGCGCGCAATTTTTATTCAGTATAAAAATGGATGTTGATTCACTTTTTTGATACGTTTTAGTTTTGTGGAACCTCCGTGAAATTTCCCCTGGTGTCTCACCTGCAGCGCTGGCATGTCGGCTCAGGGTGGTCGGCCGCCTCAGGGTGGCGGTGGAGGTCGGGGCGCCCGGTGGCAACTTGAAGTGCTGGGGGCTCGGTGTTCCCGGGCAGGACAGAGATGGGTCCTGGAGTCCGGCGGAGGATGGAGTGAACATGGATGAGGATGAGGAGGAATACGTGGGTGAAGAGGAGAGGGTGGCGTCACCGCCATCCTTCCGAGGCTGCTCCTGTAGGATGGACAGCTGGGAGGGACACATGAGAGGAACGCTCAAAATGGCTTCTCTTTTGTCATGCTGTTGTCAAGAGACTTTCACAAGATCCCGCACGGCAGCACTTCCTGATTTTGAGGGTGCGGCAGAGATACGAACAAATACAGCTTGCAGAGAAGACGACGTCTATCGTTTGATCAAATTTCTATACTTACCTGTTTGAGCCACACATCCAGTCGCCCTTTGCCTTTACCGTCCACGTTCTTAGCCCTCAAACTGATGGAATACGGCTTGTAGCTACGTTTGCGCCCCCGCTTCAGCATGGCCATACAACATCAAGGAACCAGGAGCCACATTCCAACTACCTATCATGAACACACTCAGACAACACTACA